ATCCATGCATGATGCGCATTATAAAATTTGCCTACATACATACATTGTACGTAGGTAGTCAATTGGCGGGAAGTTGTGGGTGTAGACATGTGCAGTTTACCAGAATACTACATACATACATAGTTGTATGTTTGTAGCTTTGAAAACCACGAGTTTGGCGACTTTTCAATTTTGATATTTTTGCTATTTCGCTTTTGACTAACGATTTCGTTCGTTTTCAACTAATTATCACAATCTCTTCTTCATAGTTAGAAATTCTGTGTCTTTTTGTGTACGCTTGTTTGGAATTATTGAAGGGCGTGATTAATGGGTTTCGAGTGCAGCAAAGTGTTGTTGGCCACATCGATTGTTGGTATGTACTACTTATGCATGTACGTATGTACATATGTATATACTTATGAACTTACGACATTTATAAAAATAAGTCGTGCTTATTGCGTTGGTGGCCTGACGACAACCCCTGGTAAATGTCACCTTAAATGACAGATTTTAACTATTAATTTGTTTAATGTTTGTATTTACCTTTTAAAGGAACATTTTACTTTGTATTCGAGTATTTACATACTTATATATTTTATGTACATCTGCGTTCAAGTAATTATGTAGCGCCTTTAAGTATTATTGTTAGGGGCCAATTTTTGACCAACCTCCCGATGACCTAGAGACTTGAAACTTCACGGTTGGCTCAGAACCCGATGACAATACCAAAGATGAGTTATACCGATAGGTGGCTCAGGAGTCGAGATATTTGAAAAAACCCGTATTTATTAGCCACATGAAAAGGAATAACTGCATTAAATTTTGCCGATAGGTGGCGCACGAGCTGATATATTCGATAAACCAGTATTTGTGGTCCGATTTCGTTCATATTTAGAAAGCTTGCTTTAAAAATATTAGTTTTTACTATTAACTTATTTTATATGAAAAAAAAAAATCCGCAACACCCTCCACAAAAAAAATTCTAAAAAATCAACGGTAATTTTTAGCGACTTGAAACTTGCACTTAATTAAATTAAAATTGAATCGGCTACAAATCTGCATACCCGAAAATTTTCTAAATATTCTGATTAAAAATTTGGAAATTTTGATGGCAATTTTTTTTATGTTTTATTACATAACTTTTTTTTGTGCAAGCTTTTAAAATTTGTATTTATGTGATTTCTGTTATAGATTGAGTTATGTTTAAAATGGAAATTATTCATAATAAATAAATAAACGTAAGTTGCAAACAATATCATTTTGAATTTCGCTGCTAATTAGTTGAACGCAGGTGTATGTATGTCATAATTGCTGGTGTTTTTGAATGATGATTCATTTGCTGCTGAAACTGGAAATCTGTTTTCAAAGCCTGATTATACAAGTGTAGCATTTCAGCTGCAAGAGATTAAAATGCCTGAAAGTTAAAAAACTTCCTTATGTAAAAGCTACCATTCATTTAAGTTCATGCACTTAAAGTTGAAATAATGAGTGCAGGTAAGGGAGTTTAAATTTTAAACTGTTAGTGTATAGAGTATTAATAATACAATTGCAGCCAGTATGTAGCAAATTGAGACTGCCAGGATGGTCTGTGGAGCTCGGCACAAAATCCCGATTCATCAGAAAAAAGTTATCTTTGGGCTTCAGGATTTTCTAAAAAAAATTTAATTTTATAATTCCAATTCTCTAAACATATTTCCACTTCCAAAAATAGGAAAGTAATTTTTATCTAAGCTCACTGAAAAGAGCAGAAATACGTCTTCACTAAAGAGTACCTACCAATGATAAAACCAAGAGTAACTACCAATAATCGACCAATAATAAAACTTTAACTTTCTATCTAAGACAAATACGAGTGTCACTGAAAAGACTATAATAATTACGGTGACCATCCGTCCTTTATTTCTAAGGACATTCCTTTATTTTATCCCCTTGTCCTTTATAATTTTTTTCAAAATAAAGGACGCCTTTTGTCCTATATTTCTTAAACTGTCCTTTAAATCGGCTCTGCATTTTTCAGAGATAAATTTTTAAACGCAGAATATGAAAAAATAAAACTGTCCCTTATAAAATATAATGAAAACCTTCGCCAGTTTGTTTCGCACCCCACTTAAGGGTTTCTATTTAATCCATAATCTTTGTACAATCTTTAAAGTACAGGGAAAGTTGTGCCCAGGATCGTGTTGCACGCTGAGTTTTCAGTTCCACTGAAAGAGAACAATAAATCCCCGACTGCACAGTGGTTAAAAACTGGCATTTAGTGTTCGTAATTCACTGAAGCCTTAATTTTTCACTTAATTTGATTAATTGTAATTTTTTTTATGAAAGCTTACGATATTTGCAAGAGACCAGTTGAGCCTGATTTCTGAACTTTTATTTGATTATATTAAATTTTTTAGTGCAAAATGCAGATAAAGTAGTAATTTTGAAGAAAATGTATTTTCCGGTTCCAGTTAATAAATGTTACATAAAAAAAACTAGTTAAAAACAATTGTATAGTTCTCCCCCCAAAAAAAAAAAAAATACCAAAAAAATTTAAATGTTATAAAAAAATTTTCGCCAAAATAAATATTTTTTTGGTTTTAAGTAAAAATTGGTTGAAAAATTAAAGCTCCGGTGCATTATGAACATTCCAATTCCAATTTTGAACCAATGTGTGCTGGCTTCGTTGTGCAGTATGAATTATGGTAAACGCATTTTGGTAGCAAAGGATGGCGCGAAGTTCTTGAAAAGGATTTGGCTTAATTTTCATCATTTTGAAAATAAGTCCTTTATTTTACGTTGGTTAATATGGTCACCTTAATAATAATAATAGATGGCGCTTACGCACATACGTTAGTGTTTGGCCGAGCTTCTCCTCCGATTTGTGGCGTGTGCCTTGATATTGTCACACAAAGCGGGNGTTGTGCAGTATGAATTATGGTAAACGCATTTTGGTAGCAAAGGATGGCGCGAAGTTCTTGAAAAGGATTTGGCTTAATTTTCATCATTTTGAAAATAAGTCCTTTATTTTACGTTGGTTAATATGGTCACCTTAATAATAATAATAGATGGCGCTTACGCACATACGTTAGTGTTTGGCCGAGCTTCTCCTCCGATTTGTGGCGTGTGCCTTGATATTGTCACACAAAGCGGGGGGCCCTACAGTTTTACGCCAACTCCGAACGGCGATTGTATTTTTATGAGAAGCCGTTTTTCATGGCAGAAATACACTCGGAGTTTGCCATTGCCTGCGGAGGAGCGACCGCTGCTAAGAAAAAAAAAATATTTCTATTTTTGCTGTGATGTTGTTTGACCAGGACTTGAACCTAGGCGCTGCGGAGTGGAGGCGTGCACTGCTTACTACTAAACCACAGCGGCCGACTAAAAAGACTATAGAATTCGCAAAACTAATGTCGTTTCAGTCGATCTGCTCTTTGCATCGCAAAATTTTACATTTTTTAGCATCAATATGCTCACAACGTTATACAGTACAGTTACTTCAAAGCTTCATGTAGACAAAAAAATTTTTCGTTGGATGATTATTTACAACTTTCAACGTAGAACAGCGCGCAAGCATAGCCCCACAGGGCCAGTGTTCGTAACTCACTTCGTTTGGCGATGAACATCGAGAAGAGATATATATATTTATACTGGTAGCAGAAATAATAGACTCGCCTTATTTTCGCCAGTTTTGGCTATATTTCTTTGTAGTTATACAACAAACACCATATAAATCCACATTTCACACTTTCTACAAAATTCAACAAATTTCACACTTTTAATTAAAATTTTGTAGAAAATTTGTTTGGTGTGCAATTTTACAGCCCATTCGATTTTAGTATAATAAAGTGCAAGTTTCAAATGGCTACAAAATACATTTTTTGTGGGTGCAAGGCAGTTAAGAAAAAAAATTCATTGATACTATATAGGAAAAAAAATAAGTGGCACTGTCAGCAAAAAAAAAAATATATATACCACTGCACAGCAAAACAATTTTTTTAAATTTCGAGTAAAAAGTTTGAAATTTTTATGAAAATTTGTTGAATTTTTATAATTTTGTAAAAAGTTTGAAAATGGTTGTGTACCATTTTTTTGGTCTTGGACGTATGTGTGGAGGAACGGCATATAATCGTTCATCAAGAAAATGCAAGCTCTCACACACCCCCACAAACAAATGGGTTTTGTTAAGCACTCAAAACATGAACTGTTGGGTCATCCGTCGTACAGTCCTGATTTCGCACCTACTTAGTGGTTGTTTTATTCTTCCCGTACATCAAGAATGAACTTCGCGGACAACGCATTCACCGGTACCGACTTCACTGCGGGAAAAATGCTGAAGAATATCTTAAAAGCCCATAAGACCATTTTTACCGGCAATTTTTTTTCTTACTTAGTATTCTAAGGCCCTGTTAGGCACCCTCGTACAATGCTACACATTTCTTACTCCCTTATTCATCGATTCTAATCAATATTATTTCATTTTCACATTTGCAGGGTCCCAAGGATGCCCCGAATTACTACATGGCAACTCAGGCCCCACTCGAGACAACAGTGGTCGATTTCTGGCGCATGATTTGGGAACAACAATCACGCGTAATCATACAAGCAACCGATCTCTATGAGAATGGCATTGAGAAGTGTGCCGAGTACCTGCCACCCTCGGTGACATTGGACAATCACACAACCTATGGTGACTTCCAAATAACATTGAAGCATCGTGAAGTCAAGGATAAATATGCCATTTCGACGTTGATGCTCAAGAACACAGCCGAGAATATGAGTCGCGAACTCACACACTACTGGTATAAATGGCCCGAAACGGGTGTGCCCAGCGAAGAGGCGCCCATAATTGCAATGCTATTAGAGGCGCGCTCATCTCTCAAAGGTTATGTCAACGAAGTGCGCGAAAAGAGTTCGAATGCGGAGCGCGAGTCAAATGCTGACGGTGAAGTAAC